GCGCATGCGCGCGGCCGTTGGCGAGGCCGGAACCTTGTTTCGCCTCCGTGTTCGCCCGGCGGAGTGCGTTGAGCGAAGCACAGTACGTCGGCGGCTGGCGGAGCTGGGAGGCGAAACAAGGTTCCGGCCTCGCCAACGGCCGCGCGCATGCGCATGTGGAGCCGCGCACACCTCGGCCCCGCCCCATCCCCTGCTCGTATGGGCCGGGCGATCTAGGCTCAGCTGCAGACTCAGGGTTCGGAAGAATCTTTTAAGAGAGACTTGTTCCTGAATTTTCAAACAATGCAGAAAAGCCCCAAGAAGAGTGCGCCTTGAAAAATAGCCGTTGAGGGAGTTCTGTGCCATCTTCACAATTTTCCAGCAATGAGCTGAGCTTCTTCTTTTGAGACCTCATGCATATGGTTTGAAAGAGACATTAGGGAAATCTTTTTAAGAGGCTAAAAGCCACCTGTTTTGTTTGTTTGGTTGGATTTGGTTTTGACTTTTGTGTTTTTGTTTGTTTGGTTGGTTGTTTTGGTTTTTCAAGACAGGGTTTCTCTGTGTAGCCCTGGTGGTCCTGGAACTCCCGGAACTGGCTTTGTTGACCAGACTGGTGTTCAATTCACAGAGATCCTCCTGTCCTTGCCTGCCTAGTGCAGTTAAAGGCGTGAGCCACCACACCCAGCTTAGTTTTTGTTTTGTTTTGTTTTGTTTTGTTTTGTTTTGTTTTTAAACAGAATCTCACTGCAGCTTTTGCTGACCCAGAACTCATTGTGCAAACCACGCTGGCTTGGAGCTCACAGTGATGTGCCTCTCTCTCTGTACTGGGATCTAAAAGCGTGCACACACTCCTGCCACCAATTTCAAATTAATGGTTCAATTTCTAAGTGCATGTGCATGTAACCTCTTTTTATATTTTAGACTGTTTTGTTTCTTTGTTTTGGGTTTTTTTTTTTTTTGAGACAGGGTTTCTCTATGTAACAGCCCAATTACCTCTTTGTAGAACAGGCTGGCCTCAAACTCACAAAGATCCACCTGCCTCTGCCTCCCAGGTGCTGGGATTAAAGGCGTGTGTCAATCCCTCTAGACTTATTTTGTTGTTGTTGTTTTTAAGACTTTGTGTGTTTTATGTATATGAGTGTTTTGCCTGCACATATGTATGTTGAACCACATTCGTTCCTGAGGCCAGAGAAGGGCAGAAGAGGGAGTGGTACCCTTGGAACTGGAGTTTCAGATGGTTGAGACCCACCATGTGGGTGCTGGGAGACAAACCCAGGTTCTCTGGAACAGCGCCAAATGTTCTCAATTGTCGAGCCGTCTTTCCAGCCAAGACCTTGAACTTTTGATTCTCCTGTCCCCCACCTCCTAGAGCTGGGGTTACTGGAGTGTGCCATCACACCCAGATTTATAGATAAAACCCGGGGTTTCACGTGTGGTAGGAAAACGGTCTACCAAGTAGTCCACATACAAAGTCCATTGTTAGTCACAGTCTCACGTAGCCCAAGCTGGTTTCAAGTTTGAAATCTTCCTACCTCTGCTTCCTAAATCCTGGAACTATAGATGTGCACTATCATACCTGGTTTCCTTCCTGTTAAGTTCATTGAATCCGTCTTCGTTTCCAATGTCAGTGCTGACAACACATGTTCTTTAGCCTCTGTCATTTAAATTTTGGATTATTCATTCCACCAACAAATTTCACTACATGCTAATTTCGTGTTTGGCATGGCTCTTACCCTGGCAGTACGAGGAAAAGGCCATAGGCTTGCTTGGTGCAGTTACCCCCTAGGCAGATCAACTTGCAGATATGGACTATCAGGTGACTGGTAATGATGAACACACAACCTCAGAAAGGACCGATCTAGAGGGTGTCTTAGGGTTTCTATTGCTGTGAAGAGACACCATGACCATGGCAAATCTTACAAAGGAAAGCATTCATTTGGGGCTGGCTTACAGTTCAGAGAGTTAGTCCATGGTCAGCGTGGTGGGAAGCATGGTGGCACACAGGCATACATGGTGCTGGAGAGGTAGCTGGAAGTTCTGTATCCAGATCCAAAGGAAGATACTGTGAGCCACTAGCCTAGTTTGAGCATCTGAGACCTCAAAGCACCCTGCCTGTGACACTTTTCCTCCAACAAGGCCACACCTATCCCAGCAAGGCCACACCCACCCCAACAAAGCCACACCTACTCCAATAAGGCCACACCCACCCCAGCAAGGCCACACCCACTTCTAACAAAGCCACACCTACCTCAACAAAGCCACACCTACCCCAACAAGGCCAAGTCTGAGAATTTGAGCTTAATCCCTTGAACTCACAAAGTAGAAAGGAAAACAAATTCTTGGAAGTTGTGCTCTGAACTTCACACACACATTATAGCAATATGCACACATGCACACAATTTATTTTTAAGATGGAACTGGGCATGATGGCACTCACTTATAACCCCAGTCCTTTGGAAGCAGAGACGGGTGGTGCTCTTTAACAAAACTATCTGAGAATGAGCCAGTAAACAGTATTTCTCTGTAGCCTTTGTCTCCATTCCTTCCTCCAGGTTCTTGCTGTGAGTTCCTTTCTAACTTCCTCTTTGGTGGGCATAGTCATCATGTAGAAGATCTTCAAAACCCTTTAACAACAACGCCTGAGCTGCTTTTTCATTGGCTGCCAAGTCCATCAGGAACTTGGTGCTGCCTCCACCCTGGTTCAACCCCTTGTCCATATAGGGGTGAGGTATATACTAAATGCCCTGCCTGAACGTCACACGCAGGAAGAATTGAATAAGATGTGACTTTTAAAGGGTGGAGCACCCCTTTTATCCCAGCACTCAGGAGGCAGAGGCAGACAGATATCTGAGTTCAAGGCCAGCCTTGTCTACAGAGCAAGTTCCAGGACAGTCAGGGCTACACATAGAAACCCTTTCTTGAAAAACAACAACAAGAAAGTGTGACTTCTATATCTGGCTAAGATCACTTTGCATAATGTTTTCAAGGTGCACTCACGTTATGGCACATGTCAGAAATCTGCCCCTGGTATTCTTCCCCTTCTTCCTCTTCCTCCTTTTTCTTCAATATAGGGAACAGAATCAGGATCGAGAGCTTCATGCAAGAGTAGTAGGCTAGGGGGCTGGAGAGATGGCTCATTGCCTGCTTTTCCAAAGGTCTTGAGTTCAATTCCCAGCAATCACATGGTGGCTCACAGCCATCTGTAATGTGGTCTGGTGCCCACTTCTGGTGTGCAGGCATGTACAGAGACAGAATAAATAAATAAATAAATAAATAAATACATAAATACATAAATAAATAAAAAGAGTAGTAGGCTAATACTCTCCCACTGAGCTACAAACCTAGCCCAACCAAGAACATCTTATATGAGTGGATTTATACAGTGGCAGGCGGCTGCATCCTGGGCCATGGCGGGAGCCTGAATGGAAGAGGCAGTCTGAACTGTCAGAGACGGGTAAGGATAGAGCTCTGTGAGGTCCTAGATTCCATCCTCAGCGTGGGCTGGGGAGAAGAAAAGAAAAAGAAGGGTTGATGATGATGGAAGACATTGGGGGGCTCCAGGCAACGGGGATGGTGTGGTGGGGGTGGCAAAGGCCAGGACACACAGGTGCTGGCCATTGGAAGCCAGCAAATTGGTCTGCATTATAAAATCATAAGCCAGAACAATGGAATATAAAGCTAAAAGTAGAGGCTGGGCCTGGAAATGTCCATCAAAAGCTGAACCTCAGGGGGTCTGGAGTGGAAACAGGACAGGGCATGTGGCCGGTACAGCAGGATCTTTCTCTTGTCCTAAACATGTGGATGGTATCTATGAAGTCCTGTGGTCCTACAGTGACGCTACAGACACACCCACATTTCATCCGGACCCCAATCAGAAGCAGGGAGACCTGTGGAGGGACGTTCAGGGCCACACAGATGGTGTCTGGTAGGATCAAGTGCTGACAACCTTTGAACATGCTTTCTGTCTCTATAACCCACTGTGTATCTCAAGTCCTTTAGACACAGGGACTTCATGGTGACCATAACAAAATTCTGCTTTTGAGAAGCTCAGAGGGGGACATCTGGAACGTGAATACTGGTTTGTTTCTGCACTGGATAATGGGACTCAACAGTGACCGCCACGAGGCCAGCACCAGGGCCACCTTATCAAAGTCACGGTTGTGCAGATATTAGGGGCATCCTAGAGCCAAGGCCAAGAGTTAGGGTCTAAGAAGAAAAGCCAACTGATCTATAGAAGCAGAGGCCCTGCCTTAAGCCCTAAAATGTGACTCCTCACATGATCTCACTGTGATGGCTGGGTGGGCGGAGTCTGCAGCTCTCCAGTGCCGAGGTGGACAGTTTACAGAGCAGTCAAGGATACCGTTACACCAGGACTACAACCCATCCAGAGAGGCCCCGGGCCACCCGTCTTTGTGGCTTTCTCAGTTCACGTGGAGGATGGAAGAGGAAGAGAGCAGCCCCTTGCTGTCTCAGGTGAGCCAGCTCTAATGGCTTAGTTCAGGTTGGAGATGTTTCTTGGCCCTAAGGTCCTCCAGGAGGCCCCTGGACCAGGTTATGATCGACCTGACTCCTGGCCCCACTCCCAGTCTGGTTGTGTGCTAGGATTTGTCATTAAGTGATGTCAGTGGTGATTCTTTCAGGTTGGGGTGGGGCTTCACTATCAGATGGCTCCCCTTGCCGATGGCTAAACTCAGGTGCTAGCCTCACAGGGTCTCCTGTAGGTCTGAAAGAAACTCTGGCCGGGCGGTGGTAGCACACACCTTTAATCCCAGCACTCAGGAGGCTGAGGCAGGCGGATCTCTGTGAGTTCGAGGCCAGCCTGGTCTACAAGAGCAAGTTCCAGGACAGACTCCAAAGCTACACAGAGAAACCCTGTCTCAAGAAACCAAAAAAAAAAAAAAAAAGAAAAAAGAAAGAAAGAAAGAAAGAAAAAAGAAACTCTAACATTGGGCTCAGGAGCAGGGAAAAGCAAATGTTTTTTGAGGTTGAATGGAGACACCTTGGCCTCAGACGGTCTTAACGCTGCCAAGTGAGCCCCACAGGCTGTGCTTTCACTCCGGCAGACTCTGGCAGACAAATAACCTTCACATATCCCACTCCAAATTCAGGTTAAAGAGCCATCCACGCAGCAGGACTAGCACGGGTGGAAGGACTAGAGGAGCAGGTTCTTCCTGGTGGGAAAGGCTGAGATGAAATGGGACCCTTGCCTAGACACCTGGCTGTAGTCTCTTCCAAGTCAAACCAGGTGGTGGCTGGGCAGTGATACACCTTTAAACCCAGCAATTGAGAGGCAGAGGCAGGAGGAGCTCTGTGAGTTCAAGGCCATTCTGGTCTGAGTGAGTTCCAGGACATCCATGGATACACAGAGAAAGCCTGTCTCAAACCCCACCCACAAGAAAAAGAAAGAAAGAAAGAAAGAAAGAAAGAAAGAAAGGAAGGAAGGAAGGAAGGAAGGAAGGAAGGAAGGAAGGAAGGAAGAAAGGAAGAAAGAAAGAGAGAATCAGGTCATGAGTGGGCGTCCCCCACCTCCCTGTAAAGGGCCTCTCTCATATCTGCTGTTCAGCTGAGCTGCCTGCTGGAGGGCCTGTTTTCTTGCCTTCTCTAGATTGCTGCCCCAGTCGTGTTGGTTGCCCCTCTCCCTGCCCAGGAAGCCAGGCAAGCAGGATTTAGACAGTCCCTCCCTGCATCCTCCACAATAAGTCAAGCAAAGTGTCCAAAGGCCTCGGTTCAGTTGGCGGGTGGGAGATGATGCAGAGAAACCAAGGTGGATTTCACAGCGGTCCCAGGCAGCCTGCACTTCCGGCTGGGGTGGGAAAGTCCCTCCTGTGACTGCACAAAGTTGCCGCTGGGGCACTGCAGACTGAGTCAAACAGAGAGACCATTCTAGATGCAGGGAAGTGGACTCACCTGTCACTGTTCTGTCCTGTGGGAAGAGTGAAATCCTGACCCACGAATACCACGCCTGGGCAAGACCACCTCTTTCAGAGGGTGTGAAAGAAAGGAAGTGGGTACTTTTTTTGTTTTGTTTTGTTTTTTGAGACAGGGTTTCTCTGTAACTTTGGAACTTGTCCTGGAACTCACTCTTGCAGTCCAGGCTGGCCTCGAACTCACAGAGATCCACCTGCCTCTGCCTCTTGAGTGCTGGGATTAAGGGTGTGCGCCGCCACCACCTGGCACGGGTATTTTGTTGTTGTTGTTTCTTTTTTCTTTTTCTTTTTTTTTCCTACAGACCAATCTGAACGGGTATGTTTTTAAAAAGTATTTATTGGGCTGGAGAGATGGCTCGGCAGTTAAGAGCATTGCCTGCTCTTCCATACAGAAAGAATATTGTATAATAACATACAGTGTTTCAGTGTTCTGCTAACGTGTGCACAGCAGCGGACGGCAGCAGATCTCATTACAGATGGTTGTGAGCCACCATGCAGTTGCTAAGAATAGGACTCAGGACCTCTGAAATAGCAGCCGTCTCTCTAGCTCTGGGTATATAGGGTATATATATATACACGTATATATATATATATATTATGTATACAATAGTCTGTCTGTGTGTATGCCTGCAGGCCAGAAGAGGGCACCAGACCTCATTACAGATGGTTGTGAGCCACCATATGGTTGCCGGGAATTGAACTCAGGACCTTTGGAAGAGCAGGCAATGCTCTTAACCGCTGAGCCATCTCTCCAGCCCCCTGGGTACATCTTTTAAGTGCTGTCCTACCCAGTTTTTACCATGGACCTTCCAGGGCACTGCCATTACACTGCTATAAAGAAAGTTGGCCTCATAGCCACCCGGACAGGCAGTGAGCTAGGACCCTTCACTGCCTTTCTGCTTCCTGCCTAAGCAGGATGAGGTATCCAATTCTTCAACTCTGCTTCCTGCCCCATCCTTTTTGCTCCTCTCTAACGAGGCCTCGCCCCTTGCTGGTTGTTGTCACAGACTGAGTGGCTAAGGACCAATGCATCCTCTAAGTTTTCTCTCCTTCTGCAGGGTACTGCTGGCCAAGAGCGGTCACTCAACAGGAACAGTCCACCTACTTCAAACATCCTAGGCCCAGAACTCTGGAAGGATCAGGTAGGGGCCTGGGGCTGCCGATGCTGTCCCGGGGCAAAGCACCAGGCCTGGAAGGAAGGCCAGGCCTCCTCTCTCCCACTCTCCACAGGAAGTAACTGTGTCAAGTATCTGACTTTCCTCTCTAACTTCTTCTTCTCCCTGCTGGCCCTGGTGACCCTGGCAGCAGGGCTCTGGGGGCTGGCTGTCAAAAGGTCTCCAGAGAACAGCTGGGGTGGAGCCCTGCCGGCAGACCCCATGCTGGTGCTGGTGCTGGGAGGCCTGGTGGTCAGTGTGGTGAGCATGTCAGGATGTCTGGGTGCCCTCTGTGAGAACAGCTGCCTACTACGCTTCTACTGTGGAGCTGTCCTCAGCTGCCTGGCACTGGAAGCCCTGGCAGGGACGCTGGTGGTGGCCCTCTGGGGCCCACTGCAGGAGGGCCTGAAGTATGCCCTGCGTGCGGCCATCATCCACTACCACAATGACCCAGACCTGTGCTTCCTCCTCGACCAAGTCCAGCTGGGGCTGCAATGCTGTGGAGCGGTTTCCTACCAGGACTGGCAACAGAACCTGTGAGTGTCCCCTGTACCCCACACGGGCAAGAGAAGGGGTGGTCGGGATGCCTCACTCACCCGCTTGAGCATGGATGCATAGACATGTGTGTGTTCTGGCGTACACACACAACCACATACATGCCTTGTACTCCTACTTCCATGTGCCTGTACACAAGTTTCCTTGTGTGCGTGCAAATTCACTTTCACAATCGCCTGCTTTTATGTAAACACAAAATGAAGGCCCATACTGGGGCACACACATACATCACATATACACAAACATACGTGCAAATGTGTGCACTTACCCTTTGCCTAGGCCATGGCCTTGAACCTGAATGAGCCCAACTTCTAGCCGACTCTGGAGCCCAGACTCAGCTTCCCCATGCTGTCCCCTCCATTATGGGGTTTCAATGAAGAGGCCAAGCCAGAAGACACCAGAAAAGTATTTTTTTTTTAATCTCAGAATATCTCAGTGTGAAGAAAAACACTTTAGGTTAGCTCAGGCCATCAGTCGGCGGCTCCACAGGTCGCCGCATGTGTTCCTGAGAGTGTGATTAAACTTCCAATTTAGGCAGACACAACATTTTATGTTCTTGTTTGAGGGTCCCTGTTTTGTCTACATTCTCCACTGCACAGACACCCTGAGTAGTGCCTGTCCTCCCTATGACACCCAGAACAAACATTAGGCTCCCTCCCTGGAGCCTCTGAGGCCAATTAATATCAAGGGATGGAGACAGGGGAGGCTCTAAAAACATAGTTTCAATATGTGGTGCTTACCATGCTCCTGGCTCCCCACAAAGTTCCCCCCCACACACCCAGGGCTCCTGGGAGACTCTGGTCACAGAGAGTAAGCACACTGTGGGTGGTTGTCAGGGCCCTGTGAATGAGGTCTAGACCCGAGGAAAGCTGCAGCTGAGGCTCCTTAGCCACTAGGGGGCTCCTCATAGCTCTGAGCCTTTTGCTGCTGACCTCTGACCCCTCTTCTTATTGCAATCCAATCTAGAAGTTTCTCTGGGAAGTCAGTCAGCTTTCTCTCTGACATTGCCTACTCAAATAAACTCACAGGCAGTGTCGGAGAGAAAGTCTGCAAGCCAGGTCTTCTCAACACCTCTCCTTCAACTACCTCACTAAACATTTCCTTGCCTGCCAAGATAGGCACAACACTCCACCCACCCCAATCCCCTGTCCACAAGAGGGTGTAAGCACGGTAACACAAGAAACTGAGGGTCCTCTGTGTGTGCTTGCATGTGTGTACATATGCCCTTCATATGTATGCAATTGTGTGTGTGTGTGTGTGTATGTGTGTGTGAGAGAGAGATAGAGTGCTTGCATGTGTGTACATATGCCCTTCATATGCATGCAACTGTGTGTGTGTGACAGATAGAGAGAGAGAGAGAGAGAGAGAGAGAGAGAGAGAGAGAAAGAGAGAGGGATTGAAGTTTGAAGGCCTCCTCTCCACTCCAGGACTAACCTTGTGCCCTGCAGGTACTTTAACTGCAGCTCTCCCGGGGTACAAGCCTGCAGCCTTCCTGCCTCCTGCTGCATTAACCCCCAGGAAGGGGGAGCTTTGGTGAACACTCAGTGCGGCTTTGGGGTTTTGCACCTGGACCAGAATGCAGCTGGACAAGTAGTGCACCTGCAGGGCTGCTGGCCTGTGCTGCAGCAGTGGCTGCGAGGGAACATGCAGACCATAGGCGGCTGTGTCATCACTGTTGTCGCGATCCAAGGGGCTGAACTCCTGTTGGCCGCCTGCCTGCTAAGGGCCCTAGCTGTACCAAAGGCAGCAGAGGACACAGAACCTGGACCTCTGTGAGGTGAGAAGAGCTGAGAAGACCCTGATACAGGCCAAGTTCCAAGCCTCTTCTCATCTTCCAAGGAAAGTCAGAGTAACTCGCATGGAACAGACCCCTGGGCTCCACTCCTGGTCCATTGCCTCTTTGCTACATCTGTCAGTCCCCCAAGGCCCGCCTAGACCGACTCTGTCCTGCCCTAATCTCATGATTTCACTCCTGAGTTCTCAGGACCCATCTAAGCCCAAAGGCTACCATGGTCTGTGCCTGAGCACACCTGTTTCCCACTAGGCTGGCAGGAAGAGCAAGGGCTGAGGGCCCCTGCTTCCAACCTCAGCCCCCTGCCCTGATCTAACTCACCCTGACTGGCTCTAGGTCCCCATTTCTGCAGAGATGGCCTCTCTCGGCTCCACTCCTGCTTTCTGGCCTTTGGTGAGCTGTAGGATGCAACCCAGGCCTTGTTCTGTAGAAAGCTGTTTTGGTAGCAGGAAGACTTGTATATTGGTGTGTGGATTCACATTTGCATAGTAAACTACAGATCTCACAATGACTGGGACTGGGACTTATTCGAGTCAAGATGGAGACAATTCCTTGTTTCCCAGCTAGGGCTGACGAAGGCAGAGGGCAGCCCAGCTCTGATTTCATCTGTAGAATCAGCATGGTCAGTCTGTGGCTGTCTCAAAAGTGGAGTCTTTTTCTTGCCTATTCTATTTCTTTTTCATGTACTGCAGGCTGGCCTTGAACTCCCTACGTAGCTGAGGGTGACCTTTACCCTTCTGCCTTCTGCTCACACGTTGGGGATTACAAGCATGCACCACAATGCCTAACACATAGAGTCTTTCTGAAAGCCATTTTCTGATTATTGAAAGGAGTAAATATTGTGCATGTTTGGGGGTGTTTGCCCAGGTGTGTGCCTATATGTCTTACCTCTATGTGTGGAATCCTCAGGTTACTGGGGTGTGCGGCAGGTGTCAGTTCGGTCTTAGGATGGACTGGCTGGGCCGTGGGGCTGCTCATTGGGTGTCTGTGTGTAGGTTTCTAGTTTTTGTCCTTTCCTAACTTCTTGGAGAGTCTGCTTCATTGACTATGGCCACCAGGAGTGAGGGGCAGGGTCAGGCTCATATACCTAGGACCTCTAGGCCAAACCTCTGAGGAGTTTTCTGTTTCTCTTTCTTGCCCGTCTCTCCTACTTCCACACACTCTGAACCCTCCTCCCTCCATGGTGCAGATAAAGCAACCCTACTGTAGGGACCGTACTCCATCAGGGCACCTCGGATAAGCAAGGAGATGCTAATTTTATTTAGAAACAGGGACAAGGACAGAGTGTGTCGGGAAGGCTGGTATAAAGTGCAGTAGCCTCAGCCTCTCTCACCAGAGACCCCAGGACAGTGTCCCACCTCCAGACGCCCATCTGGAAGGGTTGCGGGGCAGAGGAACTTCCCTGTCCACAGAAGGCAGTGTAGGGAAACACTTCTGGGGAGCTCAACCCTGTACTCCAGCCATAAGAAGAATAGGAGGTGGGGCTAGGTCCCTCTCCCTTCCTTTTTCTAACCCGTAACTTCAGGTCACCAGAGTGTCCTGTGGGAGGCTGTAGGCTCTTGGTAGCTGGTGTCAGGGCATAAAGTTGTGTCCCTGGAGGCTGGGGACAACCTGGCTAGGGACTCAGGTTGGGATTCAGGCTCAGGCTTGGGCGGGGGTCCTGGGCAGGTCTTACAGAGGGTGGTGGGGCAGAGAGGTCTTCAGGAGGCCTTTCATGGGACTCTCACAGCCGGGATTGACTAAATGATGCCATACTGGGCCAGTTCATGCAGCTCCAGGTGGTTGAAGGCCTCCCACGGGCAGATGACAGTGATGTCTGCAGGAAAAGTGTCATTAACAGGGACTCCATGGCCCCAGGACCACCCCATTCCCTGTCGCCTTGCTTTCTACTCCCCAAATAAAAGTCACATCTGCCTAGGACGAGAGGCTAAGCTCTGGTTGCAAATCCTCCTAGGCAGGAAGCACCAACTCTGTCTTCTGGGTCCTGGCTCCAGTAGTGAGGGATGTGGCAGGCCCGAATAGGGAGCTTAAGGGACCCTTTGCTGAAGTTGGAAGGACCAGCAAAAGTTCCTTCTGTGTCAAGTGAACCTACCCCATGGGAACAACCCCTCTCAGGGGGATCTGAAACTTGATGTTGGGAGAGAAATAGGGGACAGGATGGGAGGCAGGCTAAGCAATAGAGAGGAACCTTGGACCTGTGGGAGTATGTCTGAGGGATGTAGGAGACTTAGGAGGACTGTCCGGATGTGACAATCCTGAGTCGTCATACCTGTGCCCAAGCCTTCCATTCCAGGGATGTCATCCCCAAACCTGTAAAGACAGAGTGGTCAAGGACGATGTCTCCAGGTCTAGATCAAGCCACCCCTGGGTACCAGATGTCCTCCCCAACATCTGCTAATGGGCAGGGACTGGGGGCTCCCTTTCACCATTGTGGGACCAGTGTGCTTCCCAGAGATTCACAGGCCGAGGACCAGGAAAGGAAGAGCGAGCCCAGGTACACATGGGCAGACACCCATGCAATGCGGCCTGAGTGGGCACGGGCTGTAGGCCTCTGCAGGAGTGTGAGAGAGGGTGCTGTGTGTGTCTCAGTATGTCAGCTGTGACTTGTCCCTGAAAGGCACACATAAGCTGGGCGGTGGCAGTGCCTGCCTTTAATCCCAGCACTCGGGAGGCAGAGGCAGGTGAATGTCTGTGAGTTTAAGGCCAACCTGGTCTACAAGAGCAAGTTCCAGGACAGGTTTCAAAGCTACAGGGAAACCGTGTCTTGAAAAACCAATAAATAAATAACTGAATGAATAAGAAAGACACACATGCTGGACACTGGTCTCCAGGGTACAGCAGTACTGAGACGTGTGGGTCTTTAAGCAGAGAGTGACTGAATCACAAGGAAGCGGTGAAACGTTACTGTGGGTTGATGCCATTCTCACAGGACACGGTTATGACTCTACAGAAGAGGTGGCTAGAATGGAGAGACTCGTTCCTCTCGCTTTCTCGTGTTCTCTGTCTACTTCCCGGGAAAGAGGGAATGCCTCTTTCCCGGCATTCCCGCCACTTATACCATCTTCCAGGTTGTGGTATAGCCGTCGGGTCTTTACCAGAGGCCAAACAGTTGAGACCAACCTTCCTGGAGCTTTCTGTCTCCAAAACCAAGGGCACACAAATCTCTGCATAAAGCGTTCAGTTCCTATTGTTTTCTCAGAGCAACAGAAAATTGGCTAAGGTCATGCCTGTAGGCGTTCACACGCAGGTGTCTGTGTGTGCACAGGTGAGTGTGGTGGTGGGGCACACACATCCCTGAGGAGATTCGGGTGGTCTGCTTTCCAGACCTGTTTGGCTACAGCACCTGGAGTAAATGATAGGTCCCTTGGTTCCCCAAAACTCTTGAGGCCCTGGTCATCGGGATGAAGATGTACCACAAAGAACCATGGCCGGAGTTCTACACCAGCCTCTGTCTTGTCCCATGCAGCCTGGGAAGTGTTCCTTCTGTGAAAGGTTCCCCTCTGTTGTTCTGCTTACCCTTGAACGCCTTTCTTGGGGGGCTTGCTCTTGAACTGCCTGGTTTGCCGTTGTTTAAACTTAGGCGGTCCTTTCCTGGGCGTAACTGGTCCTCCTATAACCCGTGTGGCCGACCGAATCTCGGCCTTGGGTGGCTCCAGGTTCATGGTGAGGCTGGCAGAGACACTGCAGTGACCCTTAGCTTCTGGGCTCTGTCAGGCTGGTCTATATTCCTCATGCAGGCTGGGGAAGACCAGACAGATGGATCCCCATTAGCCCTTATTCCTTTCCAACCTAAGAGCAGAGGGCCTGACACCCACAAGCTACCCTGAGACATTGCCTCCCCTCCAGAGAACCACCTTCCAGCTCTACCAGGGCTTTCTAGTGTTCTCCTTCTGGTACCACGAGGCACCTCCCACTGCTAGCAGCCACACAGGACTCATGAACTACCTTGTGCCCATCCCATACCCCTAACTCACATCAAACACACCCTTTTGACCCCCCCCACATGTCCCAAACCAGGGCTTTTTATTACCTCCCCTTGAACACCTTGATGTTGGCCCCCACACTGACGCCTGCTCCCTCCCTCCCTCTCATCCACTGGAATCTGATTGAGCCTGTCACTCTGTGGAAAGCCTTCTGAGATCGCTTAGGAGGGTAAACAAAGGACACCCCTTCCTGACCCTGCACGTGAGCCCCACAGCCTCTTACTTTCCCTTCCAGGAGATCAGCCCCAGGCTGCTTTCACTGGCCCCTTCTCAGGAAGGGAAGGCCTTCTCTGATTCTAGAGGCCTCTTCTGACTCTACCTCATGCCATTCTGTATTTCCAGGTCCTAATTTATTTCTTCATACCACAATCTGGGGCTAAATTCGTTAATTTACAGGCATGTTTTTAAAGTAGGTTTGTTCATATTTATGTACTTGTTGGTTTTGGTCTATTATCTGTCCCTGGGGGTTGGACTTGGTGCGGATAAATAACGCTCCACAAAATGGAACGCAGCGATGCCCTAAGGAAGGGGCCTGTCCTTGAACCAGAAGCAGCTGAACTGGGAACTCCTCACTTTCACGGCTCCATTTCAGAGGGCCAAGCCAGAAGCAGGTCTCAGGGAGAGCAGTTACACCAGGATTCTTCCCTTAGGCTGCTCCCTGGCTCGCTGACTTGGAGCTCTGGAGAGGCTGAGCTGGCCTCTGCGGCCCTGTATCAGGCTGCAACCTAGAAGACACTACCTAGGATGGCCCCTCCTCCTCTCCCTAAGAGCTCCAAGCCCCAGCGACCTTGGCCAAGGACAGTACAACTTCAGTAATCCTATTAGCGCCCGAAGGAGACTCCTAATCTCCCAGAGTTCTAGGAAGCTGCCTAAATAAACCTCACCTGCTGCTGAATACAGGTGTGACCCAGACAGGAGGTGTTGTTCCGACACCCTTAGCTGTCCAAGAGACCAACTACTACTGAAACAGCCTTAAGCCACGGCCAGTGGTCTGCTGGATTGTCAAAGCTGAAACTGATCAGTAGAGTAGGCAATGCTCACTTCAATCTCAGCGGCTCCCCCTGCCCTTCCTAAGTTCAGTCTTTGTCCCTGAAGTCAGCACCAGGACGAACCAGGACTCAGGAGCTTAGGAGACCAGCATGCTCGGGTCTGAGGTACCCATCCCTTACTTCCCAGTAGTAAAACACTTCTCTAGTCAAAGGCCATAAACCCCCGACAGAACTCCAATGATCAGCACTGTCTCTATGGAAACCACGCCTGAGATGCCTAACCCAGACTGACCTGAAGCCGGTACCACTTAGCTATATGGTCAGGTGGCTGGCCTTGGCAACAGGCACTACCATCTGACATTGTAGAGAAGCAGAGGAGGTGATTGGCAGGATGTCCTCTCCAAAGGACAGGAAAAGGGGAGGAACTCTTAAAAATCCAAAGCTCGGCAGAGGTGGTAAAAACCCATTGGCTTCCCCCAACCCCAACTCTGAATGAGCAGAGACCTGACTGTTAGAAAAGGCAACGAGATGGGTCATGACTCACCAAGCACTGGACAGGTCTCAGGGAGCCACAGGTGCCAGTAGGCTGAACCTGGGTCAGCAGAGCAGTGGCCTAGGGATTTATTCTTCTCTTGGTGAGCGGATTATGACTCTCTGCTGGGATGCTACACTAATGAGATTGCTGGGCCTTGTGGGAGTCACCACTGACTGGGATGCTGGGGTGGGTAGAAGAAATTGAGGAGCAGTCAAGGGCCTGAAGGAAGGACATTCGGTTCCAGTAGACGGTCAAGAAAGGAAGGGGAAGTTTTATCTTCACCAGTTGTGGGACGATGCCTCCAGAAACAAAGGGGCCATTTTCCAGATAGTTCTTGCTTGGGCTCACCCATTCCCTTTCTGTCCCATCCACTGAGGAAACCGTGGACTTTGATGCTGTATGTGACAGGCCTCCTTTTTCCCCCTTGCCTTTCAGCCCTGCCTCTTGCATTCCAATCCCAAGGTCTTTGCTTCTGCAACTCTGTGTATTCCATTTCCTGTGCCTGTTTCCTCTAAATTGGATAGAATTAGCTTTCTTGTTTTTCTTTCTTTATTCTTTTTGTTGTTGTTGTTGTTATTTCGAGACAGGGTTTTTCTGTGGCTTTGAAGCCTGTCCTGGAACTAGCTCTTGTAGACCAGACTGGCCTCGAACTCACAGAGATCCGCCTGCCTCTGCCTCCCAAGTGCTGTGATTAAAGGCACGCACCACCACCGCCCGGCTTGTTTTTCTTTTTAAAAGCATGGTCTTATGTAGTTCCATGCTGGCCTCAAAGTGTCATGGAGCTAAGGACGCCCCTCAAGTACTGGAATTACAAGCATGTGCCACACAGACAGCACCGCATGATTCTGTGTTAATCTTTATCTTCCACACGGAAGTGGTAGGAGGAGGCACATTATACTGCTGGTGTCTGGGCCACTATGGGGCATTTCACAGATGCATGGTGGTAAGTATAACGGAGGCATGGTAAGATACAGGCCAGCATGGCAGTCTGAGAACTTGAGTGCCTTATACCCAGAAGCAGACTCAGGCCCACTGCGAAGGGCTGGCCAATGAGTTTTCTTCAAGGGCATCTTATACTGCACAGCCTTACTGGCCTTTGCCACAGTTGTCAAACGCTGGAAATGCTGACCACTGGTGTCAACATTTCCTGGAGATGTGAATAGGTATCCACCTACCATAGGTACGGTGACTCCTTTAATCCTAACAAGAGGCAGAGGCAGGCAGATCTCTGTGCATTAGAGAAGTACCAGGACAGCCAAGGCTATACAGAGAAACCAACCATCTTTACAACCTCTTTTAAGGAGGAAATGCTTCAATCCACAGGAAACAGCTATACAAAAGTCTGGGACCTCATAGGTGTGGTCACCATTAACACGTTTATCTGGGCCCAGCCCCTGCTGTGTACTTTGGATGGCATGCTTCATCTGTCCAAGGTGCCAGCCTGAACTATGTTCTATCACTCACTAGCAAAGTGCCCCGACTTTCTGGTCTTAATTTTGTCACAGGTCTGTATAAAACACCAAACATGGAAAAAGTCCTGTTTATCAGCTCAGACCCAACAGAAGGCCGGGTGGTGGTGGTGCACACCTTTAATCCTAGCACTCGGGAGGCAGAGGCAGACGGATCTCTGTGAGTTCGAGGCCAGCCTGCTCTACAAGAGCTAGTTCCAGGACAGGCTCCAAAGCTACAGAGAAACCCAGTCTCGAAAAAACAAACAAACAAACAAACAAACAAACCAAAACAAAGTCCCTCTATAATCCCAGCTGTTTTCTTTAACAAAGTAGGTGGGCACAAATACATTTAAGTTCAGCCCTTGCTAGTGCCGTGCAGTTGGTTCTGGAGCTTGATACCCCAGCTGCGTCTAGCAGGATTCAAGAACTCTAGAGGGATGACCCTAGGCTACTACAAGGTAGAAAGAAATCCCCCAGGACCCAGCAGGAGACAGGGAACAGCTAGGCCCCTCCCACATGATGGTTCTCACTTACCACACAGGTGGGAACCAGGGCTTACTGTCAGCAGGACACCTCAGGTACAATGGGGCCTGGGGGTGCTCCTGTCATAGGGTGTTCACGGATTGAAGGCTTTTGTTCATCTTCACCGGTGAGGAAACCTGTGGCTGCTCACCAGGACACACAGCTAGCCTGGGTATGCTTCCTTTGACAACACAGGCAGAGGGACCACACAGTTTGGTTGGCGCAGAGAATTTATTCAGAGGTGAAGGTCTTACACATTACTTCCTATTCCTGACAGACATGTGGAGTCTTCCAGACCCAAGGATAAAAGTGGCCCTGTGCTTCTAAAGTGTGGCATCTGTCCACGGCCCGGAGTCCCACGTACACTGGCTCAGTCTCCACTCTGGGTGCGGAGCCGGAGCCGGATCTCCATCCTGAGGAAGGCCTTGAGGTTCTCATCCTTCACATGCTCCTCTAGATCGGCCAGGGCCTGTTCCCCCCCATCCTGGCAGCGTCTGAGCAGGGCTTCTGCATAGTCTACCCACACACAGTTAGGACAGCCACTCATGCAGCAGTTTGTGGGAGGCTGGAGCTCAAGTGACAGAGGGTCTGGGGGCTTCTCCCGGGGCTGGGAGGCCTTTGGCTCCCTGCCATCCTCCGCACCTGCGTGGAAACCTTCTTCCCTGTGGTCCATCCCCAACTCTCTGCAGCTATCAGTGGCTCGCATTGGAGCATGGTGTCTGTGAAGAATACTGTGTCTTCCTCGGGGAAGACTCTGGCAGCTGCCCCAGCTGGAGAACTGTTGTGTGCCCTGCGAACATGGGATAACCAGTATGACTCTCCAGGAAGCTGGTAAGGCACTGGGGAATGTTCACCCTTCCTAGCATTGGGCTGGTGGCTCAACATCCTTCTCGGCCTCCTCACTTCCTGCAGGACCGTAGACAAATTATTATATTTCACCCTGTATACTGTTTCCCTATCTGTGAAACGGACACATTGGTTGGTATGAGAAAAAACGTGTTAAGAGCCTGGTTCAGTGCCAGGTACTGGGCCTGAGTTCCAAACGATTGCACAGAACTGGCTGACCCTCACCAGACACTAAACACTCCTCCGCTGACCACGCGGACTATCCGCGTCGTCCTCAGTCCTGCATCGGCCTTCCACCACATCACAAGAGAAGCTCAGAGGACATCGGGTCACCCCAATCTCCGCCTCCAACGCCTCTGGTGTCCACCCGTGACCCCGGTCACTAACTGGTACTTGGTCTGGAGCCCAAACCTGAAGAAAGCTCTGAGGGAGCGCGCTGACCGTGACTCTTCCAAGGGCTGGCTGGCCTCCCAGACCTGGGACACCCCAGCTGCGCGAAAGGCTTCCCGCAAGCCTGCGGGGGCAGTGCGGCCCACTCGGTCCGCGAGTACAGGCCCAGTAGCAGAGCGCCGCTCCCACCCGGTCTCCCCCTGACAGGCTCCGCAGCAGTATTTCCATAGCTGGTGCAGACTCCGAGGCCAATGGTTTGGGCAGGAGCACAGGAAGCAGAAGTGATATTCACGGGGCGGGGTCTCGCAAGAGGGCGGAAATGGCTTCATGCGGGGAGCTCCAGGAGTAGTAATGGCAGGGCCCGGGCGTGCAAGGAGCGCCCGTTCGGCGGGTCCTGGAGGCTCGGGACAGCCGCAAGCGCGACGGCGGCAGCAGCAGCAGGCGAAGGGACAGCAGCTCTCGGCCTCACGGCCGGGACAGCGCAGGTGGGTGCGATCCCCGGGAGAAGACCCAGTTGGGAGCTTTTCTACCTATCTCAGCCCGGGCCCACGCTCAGCCATGTGTTGAATGAACGGAGGTGAGTGTCTCAAGTTTCTCGTGTGAGGCACGTTTCCGGTACGAGGCCACGAACTTTTTGCCTTAGCATGCGGAGAAAAATCCAGTTCAAGGCAGCCTGGGTCAAGGGTGAGGAGAGGACCGTCTGTATGTTCATGGACTCGGCACCACTTTCTTCCTTTTGTTTCTGCTTATTTGTCCTAGGGAAGGGTCTCACTCCTGGGTTATCTTTCCAGCAAAAAAAAGAAGGAAGTGAATTGCAAGCCCAAGAATCAAGATGAGCAAGAAATCCCTTTCCGGCTACGAGAGATTATGAGGAGCCGACAGGAGATGAAAAAGCAGCTCAGCAACAAGAAGAGAAAGAAGGAGGGTATGCAACAGCCCTTGCTGGGTGCCAGGGTAGCTTTGTTTGAACCCGTCGGGTTGCCCAAATCCTTCAAGGTGTTTGAGGCAGGAGTGTGGGAAGGGACAGCACCGTACTGGTTTTACAGCAGTGCTCTTTTATAATTCACCACGTTTGGACTTTTGAGATCTTATTTTTAATTATGTCCATGCAAGCGTGACTAGTCAGGAGGCGTGTGCATGAGTGTTGGATCCTCTGGAGCTGGAGTTACAGAAGCTGCCCAGTGTGGTTGCTGGCGGGCTAAACCACGCCCCTGAGGAGCACATATTCCTACTGGCTGAGCTATCTCGCCAGTCACACTGCTGTATTTTTGTTTTTGTTTTTCAATACAGGGTTTTTCAGTAGCTTTGGAACCTGTCCTGGAACTCACGCTGTAGACCAGGCTGGCCTCGAACTCACAGAGATCCGCCTGTCCCTGCCTCCTGAGTGCTAGGATTACAGGTGTGTGCCACCATGCTGGACACTCCAGCTTCTTTGCTCACCTGTGTCGGCAGGAGCCAGTGGGTCATGAAATCACATCTGTAGGGCTGCCCTGAACTGAATAATATAGATCAGTGCTCATCCTGGTCTTTGCTTCTTGTGGCTGTAGGAGGGGAAATGGTCACGGTTGCTTGCCGATCACTAACCATTCTGTCCTGAGCTTTGCCTTACGCCTGTTCTGGGTGTCCTTTGTCCTCAGCCCAGGCGGCTTTCAAGGAGACACTGGAAAAGGAAGCCAAGGGGGAGGAAGAGACAGACATCGTTGTCCCCAAGTTCAAGCAGAGGAAGGGGGAGTCTGAAGTGGCCTACGTCCAGCGCATGGAACAGGAGGCCCAGCATGTGCTGTTCCTTAGCAAGAACCAGGCCCCTCGGCAGCCTGAGGTGCAGGCAGCTCCCAAGAAGGAAAAGTCTGAACGGAAGAAAGCGTGAGTTGAGCCTACAGGCCCAGAGCTGTGGGTCCCGGTGACAAGAAGGAACGGTTCTCTGCCTTGGGTGCACTGTAGGAAAAGCTCCTGTGGCTTGGTGTCTGCTAAGACATTATCCTCAGGGGAATCACCCTTGTGGAGTGACCCCTGGGAGACTGATAGCAGCCTGTCACCTGTCCTGTAGTGGGTTTCTCTCTAGTCTGTCTTGTTTGTGCAAGTTCTATACCTTCGTGGCCTGGTGTCCCTGACTATAAAGAGAGATTAATTCCACTGTCACGATGTTCAGATGCGCTCTTGTGTTGCCCATACCGATGGTGTTCAACCATTATATGCCCATTACAAGCTTGGATTCTCCCAACTTACTCAGTAACTTCCTGTTCCTGCCATCCCTGACTGTACAGGCAAAAAAAAAAAAAAATTATTTATTTAGATCCGCCTGCCTCTGCCTCCTGAGTGCTGGGATTAAAGGTGTGCACCACCACCACCCGGCTCTTTTTTCTTTTTAATATTTTTGAGACAGGGTTTCACTGTAGCCCTGGCTGTCATGAAACTCATTCTGTAGACCAGGGTAGCCTCGAGCTCACAGAGACCTGCCTGGCTCAGTCTGGGCTTTCACTGAATTCGAAGAAACATTCCAACCATGCATGTTTGTTCGTGCCTACAATACCATGACCCAGGAGGCTGAGGTTGGGGGGCCTTCTGTGAGTTCAGGCCATTCTATTCTTTCAAAGATGTAAAAATATTGCTTTCTACTTCCTTCTAATATTACAGTCAGAAGAGCCAAAGCCATCGTGGTCTTCAAATGCTCACAAAGAGTGTGGTATGTCACACATACAGTACTTTGCAAGGCCTTTAGATCCAATCTCATAACTGACATTCAGTATGGAGTGTATTGTTCCAGTAGATACCCTGTGGTTCCAGGCTGTGTGGGCAATCCAGAATGTCTAGACTTTGTCATTGTTCCTTGGGGCTGAGAACTACTGACTGGGGACCCTCGGGGAGCCTGTTGGGTGCAGAGCATGGGTTTGCCTCCCACTTCCGTATCTTGCAGGCCTTGAGGTCAGGCTGACTCTGCTGCCCCTAAGATGGAACCAGCACTTAGGAGTCTGAAGAACGTGCTTTTTTTCCCCTCAGGTTCCAGAAGCGGCGCCTTGAAAAAGCCCAGAAAAAAAGGGAGGAAAGAGCAGTGGACAGGCTGGAGCGGGAGCTGCTGAAAGGTAACTCTTCCCACAGCAGGGACAGAAACTGTAGTCTGCACAGGGCTACATGTTTTCCCCTAGACCTCCTTGCTGGTACCTCTGGACTCTTCCAGGCTCACTACTAGTAGGCCTGAGGATGAATGAGTTCTGAAGCCCTCAAGAAAGGGTGGACGGGCAGTGAGTCAAATGCCACGGGCTCTGAACAGCAGCTTCTGTTCACTGACAGATACTGTGGAGTTTGGAGAGGTTGTGCTACAGCCTCCGGAGCTGACAGTCCAGCCTAGACGGAGCATTGGCAGAGATGCGGTACGTGGGGACCAAGTAATGCAGGGAGTGGGGTCGGTTAGGTCATTCCTGTGTCTGCTGGGGGGCTAGTGTCCTGGACTTTGAGCTGCTGAACCAATCAAAGCCCTTTGCCATCTTCTTTCTTAGTGAGTGTGTGCTACAACCTTCTCTCTCTTTCCTCAGCCCGGCAAGAAGTCTCTAATGTTAAAGATGCTTTTGGGTGCTGGTGGTGGGTCCCTGACTCCAGCTACCTCACTGGCCCACCAGCGGATTCTGGGGGAACAGCGAGAACGGGCTGTGCAGGCTTACAGAGCCCTGAAGAAGCTGCAGCGACAGGAAGTGACGTCTGCACACCCGCTTGGCTGCTCTTCTCAGAGGAAGCTGCAGACTTGTCTGTGATTCAGAGACCCAGAGGACCAGTCCACTGGAAACTGACCTGCGAGCTGCTAGACCCGGCAAAGGGAAAGACCGCAGATGCTTGTCTCTGGATAGGGACTTGATATCTTATTGGATAAGCTTTCAGTATGGGGTATCCTTTTAAAGGTGACCACCAGTGAATCCCACCTCATACAGGGCAAGTTCCCCTAGCACTTGCCTGAGACACAGATGGGAGGACGGGTGTTTTCCTGAGCCTGGCTTCATTCTGAAACAAGTCTCAGGGAAGACAAGCCAAGACTACTGTGGAAAGGACTCAATCCCTTAATCCAGCTGATTACTGAAGCTGCTGATGTGGGTTGGCCTGCTGTCTTAAGAGGCTCCCGTGGGTTCAGTGCCATGCAAGGCAGGGTAACAATACAGTGGGAGCAGATGTACCCAATGCAGGTGTGTCTCTCGGGTGGCTGGCAGTCAGCACCTTGTTTGCCTGCAGGGGTGTGTACAGAGGCCAGAGTACCCATTTAGGTTTGGTTTGGATAGAGATGGGGTGTCAGTACTGGCTGAACGCCTTGAGGTATACACATAGACACCAGACTACAGTGATAGGAAGGGCAGAGTGGTTATACCGAGAGGGTAGGAAAATGTCCATGTCCTGCGTAGCAGGCCTGTGGGAAATAGGGGCAGGCCTTCGGAGAGGACCAGGGATAGAATCTGAATGTGTCTCCCATAGTATTAAAGGAGGGAGGACCTGGTGCTGGCTCCCGGTAGTGAAAGTAGTCCTTCAAACTCATCCAAACCTCAGAGGTGCGGTCCCGCCCTAGAATCCTGGCACCTAGGAGGTAGAAGCAAAAGAATTGGGTGTTCAAAGCCAGTCTTGACTACATGAGACCATATTCCCCCCATAAAAAAATGACCTTCATGTTGACATCAAAAGAGCTAGGCTTGGGCCTTGCTTCTGGCAGACTTTCTAGGGGCTCCTCTCCAGTTGTAAACGCAGACTGCTCGTTCGTCTCCCAGCTGTCCAGACCCGAAGCTATATTAATTACAACACTGTTTGGCCAGTGGCTCATGCATATTTCTAGCTAGTTCTCACATCTTAAATTAACCCATTTCTGTTAATCTGTATCACCACGAGGCTGGTAAGGTTCCAGAGGTGTCTTTCTCCTTTGGCAGCTACATGGCATCTCCTTTACTCTGCCTACTCTCAGTATCTCTGAATTTTCTGCCTTGCTTTACTTTGCTAAGCCCTTGGCCGAAACAGCTTTATTCATCACCCAATAAAGCAACACATACCTGACCATATATGGGACAGCCCACATCATCCAGAACAGCTGGTGCAGGAGCCCACACGGAGTGCCTTTACTCTTCCAAGTTTGCATTTTCCAGAGTGAAGTTTAATGACATTAAAGTTTACGCTCTTTGAAGTCTGGGTCCTTACTCTGACACACTCGTTCACAGCCCCAGTCTGTTCATGTCAGTGTGATGGGATGAGTGCTTAGACATGCACCCAACATTAGCAAGGGCCAGAGACCAATAAGTTGGATGCCTTGGTCATTTCATTTCCCACTAAGCAAAGGAACTAGAGCCAGAACCCATGGCCACTGTTATTAGAGCTTTTAAAGAGCCCATACCCAGTTGGGTGGTGATGGCATGCGCCTTTAATCCCAGCACTCAGGAGGCATAGGAGGACAGATCTCTGATTTTGGGGCCAGCCTGGTCTACATAGTTAGTTACAGGACAGCTATAACTGTTACACAGAAAAACCTGGCTTGAGAAAAAGAGCCCGTACCCATATTGCTTTGGGTATGTCTTACTTTCTTTAACCTTTCTTAAAGAAGCCCACACCCATGCTTTAAGGTAGTACTAATTTTTTAAAAGATTTATCGCATATTCAGCGTTCCACATGGCTATGAGTCACCATGTGGTTGCTGGGAACTGAACTCATGACCTATGGAAGAACATGCTGTGCTCTTACCCCTGAGCCATCTCTCCATCCCCTCAGATATTATCTTTTGAGTGCTTCTTTCTCAAAATACCTTTATTAGACTCCAATTCTGCTTTATTACAAAAGGATTGTTTACTTGCTTAAGTCTTCTCAAATGGATCTTGGACCTAATGATAGGGTGGAGCTACCTGTCTAATATGGTTTTCCCAGTCTTCTGATGTGGAAGAGCACGTGGCAGCTCTTGCTCCATGCCTACTCCAAGGTCAGGCCAGTCATAGCCGCCTATTTGGACTTCTGATGCTCAGAGCAGCAGACTTTATATACAGACAGGTAGGCTGGGGCATTGCCACTCACTGTTCATCAGTACTGACGAGGTGCATGTGGATATTAGGTCTTTTTTTTTTTAAATTTATTTATTATGTATACAATATTCTGTCTGTGTGTTTGCCTGCAGGCCAGAAGAGGGCATCAGATATCATTTGAGATGGTTGTGAGCCACCATGTGGTTGCTGGGAATTGAACTCAGAACCTTTGGAAGAGCAGACAATGCTCTTAACCACTGAGCCACCTCTCCAGCCCCTGGATATTAGGTTTTGATGGCATAAAGGGCAGAATACTTCGGGGTCCCCAGACTTGCCCACTTCGTGTTCTGATTGGAAATCAGGCAGCTTGATCTTAGTAATTGGCTGCAGGTTCTTCTCAGATTTGAGCCCAAGAAGGATATTTTGCCTGCATGTATGTCTGTGTGAGGGTGTCAGATTCCCTAGACAGGAGGTACAGACAATTGTGAGCTGGCATGTGGGTGCTGGGCATTGAACTCGGGTCCTCTGGAAGAGTAGCCAGTGCTCTTAACCGCTGAGCCACCTTGAGACAGTTCTTATACTCACTCACTAACTTTATATATTTTTTTTTCTGGGGAACATGGTTAGGATATCAGAAACTCAGAAGGGCAGAGCTTGTACTAGCAAAAATATCTGGGGGCTCAGTGTAGCAGTAGTCCAAAGCCCTCAGGCATAGGTCCAAAGTTTCCTGGTGGAGTCCGAGCAGCACTTTCATCTAGATAGCAGGAAGACATCCAGCCACCTGCGGTTCTGTCCTCTCCCAGTCTTGGGAACATTCTCCAGAGGTCAGATGACAGCAGTGTCTGTACACAGGGACACACCGGGCGGTCTGCTTCATCAGAATGCATCTTCTGAGGCCAGATAACAACAGTAGCCTCTGTACTCGTGCTTGCACAGATCCCTGTCACTCAGGGACACACTGGGCGGGTCTGCTTCACCAGAATGCATCTTCAGAGGCAGTCACGTCAGTCTTTGTCTCCAGGCACCGGGTCAGCCAGAATGCTCCGTCCTGTCCTGCCGTCAGCTGGTCATCTGTGTTGCTCCTGGAGCCAGAGCAGTATGGCTGCCAAGCCAGTGCCGTCCCTGGCACTTATTTCTGCTGCGGTGATGTTCTGCTTGGCACATGCAATGATGTCTGGAAGCCTGATTAATGACTTCATCTCCTCCACAGTCATGTAACAGGGAAGGTCGCTGTGGTTAAAGAAGCACTTCATAAGAGAATGACCCGCACAGATTTGCCCTACCTGCAGCTGCACCTCCCCACTCTGGATCCCATGTTCTAGGCTGCACTCATGGAGAGTAACCCCTTGGGACATCATCATCACCTCCTAGACCCATACATTTTATTGAAGAGTATCAGGACCGAGGCTTTTGCAAGTTCTTCTGCAGAAAGGAGACCCAAGAGCTGCACGCAGGATGCAGAGAGTTGGGTGGGGTTAGAGGCATCCATCACAAACTAGGAAAAGGAAACATAAGCTAAGGTTTTCCTGGCCAACCCTCCACCTGGGCATTACACATGTCACTCAGGAAGAGAACACACAACTTTTTAAAATTTTCATCTATGATGCTAAGGTCGAACCTAAGGCTTTCAGTAAGCTAGGCAAGCACATGCCTGGCCCCAGAGTGGCTTTTAAGCCAAAGGTTTTGGAAACGGGCAGCAAAGGGAAGTTGTATGAGGATGACTTGGGGTCAGTGGTGTCTTTTTAAGTGCATCAATTCTCCATCCCAGAATTTGGAGCTCCTTCCTTGTGGGGATGGGACCGACTAGGAAGATATAGACAGGTTGGACATACTCGGGTACCAAGACATAAAACACTGGGCCTTCAGCAAGCCCTCGTGGAGTCTGAGCCCTGTTGAGGAACTCAGACCAATGCTTAAGAGCAAGCAATGCAGCCTAAGTACTGTTTCCTCGAGCAATCACCAAAACCCTATCCCATAGCAGGATCTGCTACTCGATGGTTCCGGGTGACCCACACATTGTTCTCAAAAGAAACTCGAAGTACTGACTCACCAGGAGTGAATGACAGTTTCCATAGTAACTGGACCAGATGGGGCTCATACAACCCCCGAGCTCTCGGATGGTGATTTTCCTGTGGGCCACAATGTCAGTAAGGTTGGTGCCAACCTGTATTTAGGAGGGAAACACGATGCACAGTGATAGCTGTGCCACTGCGAACTCCTGGGTGGTAGCACTCCGCGATGTGTATGGGGGAGGGGGCGGAGAGATGGTGGCTAAACCTCGATGGTTAGTGACAACTGTCCAAGCCCTTCAGCAGAGCTCGCCACCAAGAAAAGCAGCTCTCTGGGGACTCCAGGTTATGGTCAAGCACAGAGCTGGGCCCTGAGGGTGACAGCAAAATAAGTCCCTGGGGAGAGGAGAGAAAAGTGCCCACGGGAAGGCGGGCTCCGGGTTCCCTGCAGGCTCACCGGTTCTGTGCTGGGAATCCCCTCCGCGGCTTCCACTGGAGAAGCCCGAGGAGGGCACGTCAAGTCGCTAAGGTAACCCGTGTGACCCGAGAGAGGCGGATACCTACCGTGGGCCGCGTCGGCGGAGGGTCCCCCAGGTCGCCCTTGCCATTTCCCGAGCTCAGCTGTTCGGGCGGTCAAGGAGCTGAGTGCGGCAGAGGACGGGTTTCCCGTCCCGAGGAACCCCGGTGAGTCCCCCGCCCTGCCCGGGGCCCGGCCCGCTCACATGGTGCGGAAGGATATTCTGCAGGCGTTTCACCAGCAGGGTCTTCCCGACTCCTGCAGCCCCCAGCAGGAGACACATCCCTGGTCCTCCGGGTCCCGGTCCCTCGGAGCTGAGACGCCGAGAGGCCCGCCTCCGCCGAGCTCTCATTGGCTAGACCTCTTGTCCGAACTGTTCATTGGTTAGTCGCGCGGCCCAATGGCCGCTCAGAATCAGCGAGCAAGCGCAGGGCCTCGGCTTCGGGCGGCATGGCGACGTGCGCCTGCGCGCGTGAACCCCGAAAGGCGGAAGCGGAAGTTGGGGGGCGCGTCAGCTCCGAAAGAGGGAGCGCCCGCGGCGTCGGTCCGGAGCGGGGTCGCCATGGGGCGAGGCAGCGGCACCTTCGAGCGTCTCCTAGGTAACGCGTCCGCCAGCCGGCTCGCCGTCAGCTCTCTCGCGCACCCGCCAGACCCTGCCTCCATAGGTCTCAGGGGAGCGGGCCGGCCGCCCTGCACGGCCGCCGGCCTCCCGGGAGCACGACACTGTTCCCGGGCCTCGGGTGTGGCCTCCGGCGCTGTGCACCGCGTCCCGTGGGTCAAGTGAGGGCTGCTCTTTGGTAGTCCGCAAGGACCTCGCCTCCTCCGGGTCCGACGGCCCGGAACCGATTGGGCCAAAGTCCTGAGTCATGAAGTGTATGACTCAGGTCCTAACTTCATGCGGGTCGTTTGACCCTAATGCTTGGTCGAAGCCTGTGGAACCGATACTGCCCTCCTTAAACCTTTTCGAGCCCCTTGGGAACTGCTTCTAGGACCCTGTTTATTCCTTGGGCTCTGAAAGTGTCCCTGGGTTTTGGAAGACATTTTCTCTCCTTGTTGAAGGTGCTTGTTGATCCTATTTGAGCCTCCTGGAGAGTGTAAATTTTAGGAGGGAAAATGGGTTTGCGTGCTTGCATCATTCCCGCAATAAAAGTATAGTGTGTCCTCGAACAGGCGCCAGAGTGCTTCCATAGTCTGCTCATTTCCTTTCGAACTAAGGTTTTCAAAGGGATTGTGGAAACATTTTTCTTATTCTCCCCTCGGGGAGGTTCGGCACTTCAGGTACCAATCCAGTAATTTGCTGAATCAGTGACAAAGTTGGTGTGTCTTGGGGTAGCTCACCCTTGTGGAAGAGAGGGGATGAGGATGTGAAGAGTGTTAGCTGGGGAATCCAGAGATCTCTCCAGCCTTGCCCGGCTAAGAGCTAATATAAAGGACAAACCATCTCAACGATGGGGCTCTGAGGGCCAGGTGACCCTGTTGTTGTGCATGCCGTTTCGAAGTGCCCAGCAAGCTGTGATATAGGACATTCATGCCCCTCTGTTTTACCCTTAAAGGGGATGGAGGCAGTGCCTGTCTCCTGAGGGTTTGTGGGAACTGAATGAATTCAGAGCTTGAAATGACAGCTGATCTGGAGCAAGCACAGCAGCCATGAGTCTCTGTAATTTTTGCATTATTTGCGTCTTGCACGGGGCGGGGGAGTTGCCATTTCCAGGATTGTCACTGTGCTTCAAGAGGATTGTCTGTTCAGTTCAGCTGTTTAAAAAGAGGGAAATTGCTAACCTAGGAAACACAGCACAGTGGGTCCCTTGAGTGACATCTCTCTCCTTTAGACAAAGCCACCAGCCAGCTTCTATTGGAGACGGACTGGGAGTCCATTCTGCAGATCTGTGACCTGATCCGACAGGGGGACACACAGTAAGTGAGCAGGGCCTGTCCTGTAAAGCGAGGGGCAGTCACATATGATGCTGACATCTTTTGGTGCCCACTCCACTTCAGAGATTAAGTTGACCACGGGAGTTTCTTTGTAAGTTTGTTTTTATTTTTGAGACACGGTTTCTCTGTAGCTTTGGAGCCTGCCCTGGAACTCAATCTGTAGACCAGGCTGGCCTCGAACTCACAGAGATCCACCTGCCTCTGCTTCCCTAGTGCTGGGATTAAAGGCGTGTGCCACCATCACCTGGCACCACGAGAGTTCTTTACGTAGACAATTGCCTTGTCTACATCTGGGTGTTTTGGTGTGTTGGGACAAATAAAACTGTACAGTCTGGAGATATTTAGAAGTCTGAAGGACCAGGATGGTGTGTGGAAGCCTGGGCGTATAGTTAAGCTGGTCGAGTATTTGCCTAGCATGTGTAAAGTCCATGTGTAAAGCATGTGTTCATCCCCAACACAGCATAAACTAGACATGATGGCACTGCCTGTAGTCACAGCACTTGGGAGTTGAAGACAGGAGGATAAGTCCAGAGCCTTCCTTAGTTACACATTGGACTGGAGGCCAGCCTGGGCTACTTGAAACCGTGTCTCAAAAAACAAAGATGGCAGAGAGCTTTCCTCATCTTACAGAGACGTTTCCCCTCCTTCCCTCTTACTGCTGTCACTAATGCTTTTTTTTTTCTTTCAGAGCAAAATATGCTGTAAATTCCATCAAGAAGAAGGTCAATGATAAGAACCCACACGTGGCTTTGTACGCTCTGGAGGTAATTAGAGCCCTGCTGCAGTGTCTTTTGGTCCCCATACTCAAAGATCTCTTCTTTCTGTTATCCGGCAGCCATGCCCACTTTCCTGGACACAGAGCTACTAGTGAATCCCTCTAGCACTAAGTACAGTTGCGAGCATTGCCATTGAGTTGGCGCCCTCTTATGGGAATAGGGGAAGTATCAAAAATGCTTATGTGTCTGTAGTCCGAACATACACCCATGAAGGATGGGATGGTCGTCACCTTTGACCACAAGATGTTGTCAGGGCCTGCAGCCTATCTTTGAGTGCTGTTTGGGGTTTCTAACAGGTTGAGTGGACTCAGAGGCCTGTTGTGGACTGTCTTCCAGCAGGAAGAAGGCCCTGTCCTGGACACAGCTAGGCCTTTTTTGTTTGTTTGCTTTTTGAGACAAGGTTTCTATGTGTAACAGCTTTGGCTGTCCTGAAACTCACTATGTAGACCAGGCTGATCTTGAACGCACAGAGATCAACCTGCTTCTGCTTCCCGAGTGCTGGGATTCAAGATGTGCGCCACCACCACCCAACAAACTAGGTCTTTCTCTTCCTTGGGGTTTTCAGGTGATGGAGTCTGTGGTAAAGAACTGTGGCCAGACAGTCCACGATGAAGTGGCCAACAAACAGACCATGGAAGAGCTAAAGGAGCTGCTGAAGGTGGGTTTCATAGTCTTGAGGGAATCCGGAGTCAGGTAGAGTGCCAGCTCTTCTAAGTGTGTGTCGCCTACAGAAGGAGGAGGTGAGGGTAAGAGTAGCGGTCCCTGTGAGTGCTCTGTGAGTCCAGACCAGGCCCGGGGAGAGACACTGTTCTTGGGCCAGAGAAGACTTCCGAAGCAGGGCATGGGGCTGAGTCCTCAGGACTGTGGGCAGAGGTGGTCATGGAGTATCGTAGGAGCTTGGGAAAGAGGTTTGGAGTAGCACATTCAAGAGTGGGAGAGGTCTGAGCTGTGAAGGTGCAGAAGTTGGAGTTTAGGTCTATCTGTGGCTGGGCCAAGAGGGCAAAATGATAGAGCAGGAGCTGCTCCAGGGCGGGTGGAACTCACGCCTTCAACAGAGGAGGAGAGCTTGCTGGAGCCTTGTGAGATCGTCCCCAGGATGACCTGAGGCATCGTCATGTGGATTGTGATGCAGCTGGGTTGGTGGGCTGGGCAAAGTGATGCTGTTTCATGTGACACAGCACCAGGCTTTGGTCTCATGGGAAGCTTCACCCTCACCCCATGCTGCTGAGAACCTGTCTCGGGCACTCAGCTCTTAGCTGACCCTTCTAACGTGGGGCCTAAATCAGACTTTTGTTGCATAGCTGGAGGAGGGCAAAGCGTCAGGCGACCTCCCTGCTCTGCACCAGGCTGGTCTGCTTGGAGAGAAGCCGGATCCCAGTGTAAGAGCTGTTGTGTCTCCTTGAAGCTGCTTGACCTGTGTCATCAACAGAAAGTGTCATGACCTCCCTAAGAGGGTGCCAAGTGTAAGGCTGTGCTGTGGCTCACAGGGCCTGAGCCTTGTGGAGAAACGTCTGGAGAGGACATCCCTGCCTCTTTCAGACAATGTCTCGCCTGGTGCCTCTCAGAGGCAGTGGAGCCCCAGGCTGTAGTGATGGTGCGGACCTCAGAAAACTGCTTTTCTGGCCGAGGTCCATGCAGAGGTGGAGAAGGAGTCATGACTGTAGTCAAGCAATACAGCTTCTGGAAATTCTCTGATTTCTGTCAGGATTAAGAATTGTGACTCCAGGCTGGAGAGATGGCCCAGAAGTTAAGAGCACTGGCTGCTCTTCTAGAGGTCCTGAGTTCAATTCCCAGCAACCACACAGTGGCTCACAACCATCTGTAATGAGATTTGTTGTCCTTTTCTGGCCTCCAGGCATACATGCAGGCAGAACACTATACATAATAAATAAATAAATCTTTAAAAAAAAAAAAGAATTGTGCTGACCCTGCACAAGTGTAGATTCTCAGGAGGGTCGCTCCTGAGAGTGGATGGGTGCCTGGCAGCCGCCCAGGCACTCTCTCTGGCCTTTGTGCCAACTGTTTCTACTCAGAGCAATTGGTCTTGCAAGCTGCCTCTTCCCTCTGAGACCTCAGACACCTCAAGTCTCCTGTAGCCCTCCCCACTTTCTTCTTGCTCTACAGAGGCAAGTGGAAGTTAATGTTCGGAACAAGATCCTGTACCTGATCCAGGCCTGGGCACATGCCTTCCGGAATGAGCCCAAGTACAAGGTGGTCCAGGATACATACCAGATCATGAAGGTTGAAGGTAAGTTAGAACCGCCCAGCTCCAGGCTGGGAACACGACAGTTAAGCTAGATTGTCCTAGTGATAAGGGGGTGGGGGTAGACTGGTCCTCCTGAGTGATTGGCAGTGAGGCTAAGGAGCCGGTGTTCCCCAAACCTTGGAAAGCCCCATGGAGGGAAGTCCAGCTCTGACAAGGTCCTGCTTTCTACACCTCCACCCACAGGGAGGCAGTGGCCTATGTTTTCAGTCAGGAAACAGTAAAGTCTGCTGACAGGCACACCAGAGGGTTGTGCTTCCTGGGGGTAGCACGGATGAGCAGTCTAGGAAGACCTCTTAAGTGAATTGGGTGGATTTTAGGAGTTCTGAACACCAAGAGCAACCACAGGGCCTTGGC